AGTTAAAAATTAAGTGAGAGTAATATAATACTAATCAATATGGGTGGAGGGGAAAATGGAATGTGCCAAATTTTCTTTCTTTTTTTTTTTTTCAATTTGTACAGCAAAAGAGGTAGTGCTTTTTTTTTTTCTGTTAAATCTTGTGAGTATGTCCCATTTGTCATGTTCAAGAAGAATATATACTGTATTAGTTTCCCTCTCATTTAACTATACAAAAGTTATGTTAGAATGATTAAGAAGTTGAAAAATAGGCCTAAGGGAAGATTTGAGAAAACATAAATTATTTTCATTAGGCTTGATAAAGGTGGCACGTATGTAGGGCAGAAATGCTTTCATATTATTTTTCAAATTAGCAGTCAGTAGTCTAACAAGACCCAGTGGCTGGAAATTGGAGCTGGGTGCAGTCAGACTCAAAACCTAACACATTAAAATCCCCAAGCCGCTCCATCTCTCTCTCAAAAAAAAAAAAAACAAAACCAAACTCAAAACCAATCCCTATCAGACCATCTTCTGCACAATTCCAGGAAATTTCACAGAATCACAGAATGGTAGGGGTTGGAAGGGACCTCGGAAGATCATCTGGTCCAACCCCCCTGCCAAGGCAGGATCACCCAGGGCAGGTTGTACAGAAACGTGTCCAGTCGGGTTTTGAAGGTCTCCAGAGAAGCAGACTCCACAACCTCTCTGGGCAGCCAGTTCCAGTGCTCCATGACCCTCACAGTAAAGAAGTTTTTCCTCATGTTGAGGTGGAACTTCCTGTGCTGCAGTTTGTGCCCATTGCCCCTCATCTGTCACGGGGCACTGCTGAAAAGAGACTGGCTCCATCCTCCTGACAGCCACCTTTCAGAGATTTATAGACATTGATAAGGTCCCCTCTCAGTCTTCTCTCCTCCAGACTAAACAGCCCCAGGTCTCTCAGCCTTTCCTCATACGAGAGATGGTCCAGTCCCTTAATCATCCTTGTAGCCCTCCGTTGGACTCTCTCCAAAAGTTCCCTGTCTCTCTTTAACTGGGGAGACCAGAACTGGACACAATACTCCAGATTAGGCCTCACCAGTGCAGAGTAGAGGGGGAGGATAACCTCTCTCAAATTTCCCCAGTGCCTGTTTATTAAGATTGCCTTAAGCATTTTAACCATTTAAGCAATGGACATTCTGTCCATTGATGGTGATTGTCAGCAGGATTTGAAGCTGGAATCAACATCTCCCCAGCGTATCTCCCTGTCATCTCACTGAAAGAGTCAACAGTTGAAATCTCTTCATGAATTGGCACCGAGGCATTCAGGAAGGGAGGTCGGGGTGAGCATGCATTTGACAGCTAATGATGAAGCTATGGGTTATGTACACCAGCCTGTCTGGAGCCGCACTCACAGTGTACCTGCCACCCTACATAGGGCAACTGAGAGTGTAAAATGCTTGGGAAGATGTCTGTTTTTCCTTCTAATCACTGGTCTTAGCTAGTCTTCCAGACTTATTCATTTATCTTGTACTATCTGCTTTATTTTGAGTAGGTATTTTTAACAGGGAATCGCCACTTTCATGCCTTATTCATCCTTTGGCTTCTAGGCTGATGTGGCTCTGGAAGTATCAAGGCAGATGTGTAGTACTTTGGATGTCTTTTCATTGTAGCTGTGGTCCTGCAACAAGCGAAGACAGACCCAAGTCTCTGAGCTTGAGTTTGGTGCATGATGGATAATTAGGCTGTGAAGGGAGTAAAAACTGTTCCCCCACTACAGTCTTGCATCCAGAGGTTTGTATGCATCTTGGCAGATTTATTCTGCTAGACTCTCCGGATGTGTTAAAATCCTCAAGAGGGTCCAGGGAAAGTGGGACATAAACCTTGGCTTTTGGACATTGGGTGAGCTTTGGCAGCAGAGTAGCTTAGCTGCAAGGCAGTTTTCTTGGAGACTGCGGACAGCCTTGTACTGTGAAGCAACTAGAACATTAAAAGCCAAATCTAGATCAGTGGTAATTAAAAGCAGGTATTAGCCAAGACATCAAAGATGAGATGTTACTAAGGATAAGGATGTTTAATTAGCAGGTTGATTCCCTAAGTAGTTTGTGTTAGAGGAGCTATTTGGTTCACTGATCCTGGTTCTTAAAACTTAAGAGTAATTTGAAAATTGTGCAAGGTGCAGAGAGATTGATAGCAGCCTGTCAGACAGCTGGGCTGGATGGCTCAGGTGGGTATAGGCTAGTTAGCCTTGAACCTATACCATAGAAACTAGTGGAAAAATTGTCAGGAGTTCAAGAGGTAGAAGAGATCAGAAATATAATCAATGCTAGCAAATACGGCTTTATGTAAAGGTTTTCAGCTCAAACAGACCTAATGTTGTTTATTTTGGAGATTGTGAGTTTGATCAAGTAACAGCATGTTTGCAGCCTTCTTAGCATTTCGTATTGCACATAATTTAGAATTTTGTGACATTCTGATCTATGTCTAAAAAAAAAAAAATAAAAAAAGCAAGCACAGAACAAGATTAAAAACTGGCTGTCAGTTACCAGAAAGTAATTATCAGTAGGAAGCCACTCAGGTTGTAGTTTCAAGGTCTTCCTCCAAAATTAGTAAGAGGGACCAGTAGTAAGTGAGAATCACTGCTTATAAAATGTGTTGTGATTGACACAAATGCTGGTCAGATGGTGAATAACTACGACAGGGCTGTCATGGTGTGACCGGGATCACTTAATTCACAGAATCTGTTTAAAGACAATGCATTTTAACCAAGCCAAAGGCAAGTACATACCTAGGAACAGGGAATGCAGAGCACATAAGTAAAATGTGAAGCTTAGAAAAGACTCAGAGTAGATATGTTAGTGATATAATAGCCAGTCAGCTCCATCAACACCCAGAGCTTGATTTTTAGAGACAAATTGATCTTAACCCAGTTTTAACCATCTAAATATCAAAAACAGTCATGGGACAGAGACACTCTTCCCACCCCCCCCCAAAAAAACCCCAAACCAAACAAAAAACCCACCCACCCAACCAAAAAACCCACAAACCAAAAGCAACAACAAAAAACCCACCAGCACAAGGCAGATCATTGAATCCTAAAAGCAATGGGACCAATTTTCTTCTGAAAGTCTCCCTTCCTCCCTCTCTCAGCTGAATTCAAGATGCTACTGAGTAAACTTGAGATGGCTGAAGTGAGGTGAGAGAAATTCCAGCTCCTGTATCTGTTACTTTACCTCCACATATGGTTTTGGTAAGATGCAGTAGTATTACATCTATTTTCTGGTCTTTGTATTCTTAAAACATCATTGCAAGATTGAACAAGGTGCAGATAAGAGACCCAAAACTGATTTAAGTGTGGCGTAAATGCCTTGTGGTGAGATAATGCATGAGCTTGAGTTACTTCATTTATTGATAAGATGATTGAAAAGTGACTTGATTACAATGTATAAGTACTTTCAAAGGCAGAAAACTCCAGGTACTAAAAGGCTCTTTAGTACAGTATAGAAAGTCATAAGAAGGGACTACTAGAAGCTAAAGGCAAATTCATGTTGGAAATTAAGCAGCAATATTACTACCACTTTAGCCACAGATAGGTTACTAGGTTCTGTACAAAAGAAAGAGTATAAAATTTATCTGCCAGTGATACACAGGTCAGGCAAATTTGTCAGGTTGTCTCTCCTGACCATAAACCTTGGGAATCTGTAAAACCAGAAGTATTTTAATACAAATTTTGTTTCATTCAAAACCACCTGGAAAAGTATGGCATTCTTATTCCTTTCAAGGATTTACTTTAAATCAAACCAAGAAATTTTAGATTAAATCATTTTAAAATACATGGTGTTGAAGTAATAGTTCTCTGCATTATTCTGGGAGAGCAGACTTAGATTTCCAGATGTAACAATATTTCAGTCTGTAAGGCAGTGGAAAATTAGAGGCGTCTCAGAGTGCCTTGTGTTACTTGGCATCAATACTTTTAAGCGTTTCTGTTATCTTCTGTGACATTGCCAGCTGAAGGTGACGGTGACAGTGTAGTACCTTACACCAACAGCAAGTCGAGACTCTCTGTTGGACGGACATTTTACATGGTGAGAGCTAATCAAACCATTAAAGCTCATCCTTTCTTGTTATGCAAGACTGTTCCAGGGATGTTCCTTTTACACATACTGCACTGGCTATGCCCGAAAGAGATGGAAAAATTGCCACACACACACTATGCACTAGAACTTCGTAGCAGAGAAGCAGGTGTTTCCCCACCATCACTTCCCTCTTTCTTTCTACAGCATGTTGCTTTTAATTTTTTAGGCTTTTCTACCTTCCTGGAGTAGGCTGGTACTGTGGCACTGCTCTGTTAGTTGTTGTTGCTTTAGGCAAAAAGATGTTCACATTGGATTACAAAGTGACTGTATTACAGAGGTGAATGTACAGAGAGCAGTATTAACTAAAACTTAGTATGTAATCTCCTAGATTACTAACTGCAAGTGTTTAGTTCTTTTCCTTGAGTGTTAGCATATGTAGTATTATTACTTTATTGCATTATGTTCCTTTAGTGAACAATTTTTTATTGTAATAAGATGAAAATAGGTTACATTTTTCTGAGGATAGGAATAAAATTAATTCTCATTTTATCTTCCACTAATTTTGGATACTTTGATTATCGCGTTATTATGTTTTTCATTGTCACTGACTGTTTTCAATGTACATTTCCAGAAAACAGTTCCTAGGTGAGCTGAGCGCAACAATCTAGAGAAAGGAGGACCACACAGTTATCATCTCTTATTTAAAATTTGGTCTTTGTGATTTATTCCTAATACGTAAGACCTCTGATGGCAAGATGTAAGATAAGTAAGTCTAGAGGATACCAGCCATGCAAGCATGTTTTTTTTGCTTATTTTTTCTGTGTCTAAATAGCAGAGATTTTAGAAATTAAGTTGAGATTTGAGAACTTATAATTATTAAATGCTTAATTAGTAAGAACTAATTCAAATGTCGACCATGTTAGTGAATCTTATTTTAATGTTCAGTTTTGCTTTGTTTTTTCATTTTAGATAAGCTTTCGTTGGAAGGAATAGTGGTGCAACGTGCTGAATGCAGACCTGCAGCTAGTGAAAATTATATGAAACTGAAAAGGTACGAGTGCTCTATTACATATGGATATGGGATACCTGCGTGATGCTTTTATTATTGCCCTTCTAGGGATGGATGACTTCAGTATTATCGTGTTCTTACCTAGGGTTTTTACAGGATCGGAACTGTTCTTGCTTTTGGGGTGGATTTACTGTACGGAAGGAGTGAAGGGTGGTGTGGGGTTTGTACTTCCCTCTGGTATTGTCTGGTAGGATGATGCAGACTTCTGCATTCCACGATGGCCAAAACTCTTACCAGAACATACATTGTGCCTCTTCATACCTGAACGTATGAATGTGTGGCTATATTCAAGTGTGATTAAAGCTGAATTTCCCCAGATCTTGAAGGTTTGCATTGGTCTGGACAGGACAAGCTTCTTGTGAATGGGTTTCTGTGTGGATTGTCCAAATTTAATTCGACTTAATACTGTGCCACACTAGATGAGGAGCACCTCTGAAAAGATATTTAAAATGCCCGAAATAGGAGAGAGTTCAGGGAGAAGTGCTAGCCCAAAACTGGCATGCTTGCTAGAAGAGGTAGTGGCTGAAAATGTCAGAAGTGGCATGGAAACCACAAGGCATAAATTTAACAGAATCATTTAGTGACTTTTGGAAATTTAATCTGATACATCTAGAATTTACCATGTGATTCATATATCATACGTATAATTAACTTGATGACGTTCTCTAGTAAAAAATCAGATTTTGAATTGATTGTGCTTTATATGAAATATGTACTTATATATTTTAAGCATGTGGGTTTTAATTAAATCACCCTTTTATATTATGAATTTGCTGTAAATAGAGATATGCAAAGCAGAAAATTTTGGGAAGAGAATCATATGTGATTAGTTTTAGAATTGTCAAAAGAAATGTAGAAAAGGCAAAGTGATGTTTTTCCCCAGTTCCTGTTCTGTTTTCTGTGTATCATATACTACATTTACAGTATCTTATATTTTATTAACCTCCTCTGTCATCTAAACGGCTCCATTGTTTCCTTATTGTGTTCGTTCAATTCTGAGACTTTACGTTCTAGCTTGTTGGCAAATCAGTACCATAAGTTTCCTCACGTACAGTGAACTACTTCATTTCAGACTGTGTTCTGTGATTGCTATCATGATTTTTGTCATTAGTGTGAAATGGAGTATGAAGCAAATGTGATGTTACTAGAAAAGGACTCATTTCAATCTGGCAATTTTAAATATATACAAATATAGTCTGTGGGCTGTATTTGCTTCATAATTGTTTTAATCACAGGTTACCTGATCTAAATGTTTTTTTGCGTTTCGTACGCAGTCTTCTATTAGTTGATGAGATAAGGTTCTCCTGGTAAGGCCACAGCAGGAGACCAAAACAAAACTGATAGCTTTAATGACATACTACCCAAACTTTGAATTTTTCAGCAGTCTACTTTCTGTCACAAGTGCATATGTGCAGCCCCTCCTGGTATTTGATTTTGTCATGTTCAACTGCTTTAGGAGCAACAAAGATACGAAGGCAGGTTTTGTGTTTAGAAGCACTGGCAGCTGAAAACTGATGGTACCCTTGTTTTTTCTTTCCTGTAGAAAAATTGTCAGGCTGTGAATGCCTAGTTTCTAACTTTCCGTGTTGTTAAAGAGTTTTTGCCTTTTACCAAAAAGTTAAAGAGAAAAAAAACCTGGTGGGAATCAGCATGAAATTTAGCAGATCTAGCAGCCACAGCCTCAGAAGAAATTGGTTTATGTCCAAATACCATCTCTGGTATTTGAGTAGTAGGATTTAACTTTTCACTCCCTTTGCTCTCACCCACCCTCAACATGCTGCAGTTTGTATTTGTGCTTTAAAAAAGTGACAGCATTGAAGATAAACCGCATAAGTTATAGAACTATGTTATATTAAACCATTTCTATTCACTTTTCTATTTACTGTTGTGCTTTGAATGAGAGAGACTCTCCAAAGGTGGAATTGATAATATTGATAAAACAGCAAGTCTGTTGTGTAGGCTTTAAGTGCTACAGTAGTAAATTGAGTCGGGAAGGAAATAAAATTAAAAGATAAATGCAGTTGCTTCAAACTTTGAAGATCTAGAAAATGAAGTTAAGCTGCACACTCCAATAACTGTAATCATTTTTTTCTGAGAGCTGGCAGTGACCAAAAAGGATTACATGCCTCCCTGGTATTAAATTCAGATATGGATCCCCTGTATTTTACCCTCTGCATCTGGGTGAAGGAAATCGGTTGCTGGGTGCGTGGCACGGCATTTGATTTCCATGCTGTTCTGTCGAGTTTGAGTGAGAGCACAAAGTGATGGTCTTGTGATGGGGCTGCCAGCAGTTAGGTGGGAGATATGTGTGATGTGTGGGTTTAAGGATGGATAATGAAAGCACAGAATTTGGTGACAGGTATGGGTGAAAGCGTTGTGAAATGCAGCAGATGGAAGGAAAGCTTTTTCCCAAGGAGAAAACTTTGATTTGATTTTGGGAAGAATGTAGATGGCTGATGCTCAGAACACTTTGAATACAAGGTACTACTGTGCGTCTAGGGATGACTAGTGAGAAAGGTAAAACAAAGATTGTGTGACCTTCACTTCGTATTTTCCATTTTGGAAGTTTTGTTGTTGGCAGATTGATTTATTTTTTTCCATTTTCCAGAATTTCATACCATGGAACACCTGCCATCCTGCACTAGCAAAGCTTCATGCTATTGAATTTCCTAGAAATTTTTTATTAACAATGTACTTGTTCTTTGTAATGCCTTAATGATTAATTATATATTTGCAGTTACTGCTGGTGATGCTATTGCGGCTAGCTGGAAAACAGTATGTGGTTTCCAAGCACCTGTCCTGATTTCTGTCTTGTAGAAGTGGATCTCATGGTCTAATTTAAAAATATTTGGACTGTGTGGTGAAAAAATCCAGGCAGACTCTGCTGCCGACAGTGGACGGTTTTACTGTGTGGTAGTCACAGAAGATACTGTCCCTACGCTATTCTTTCTGGTTGATACTTCCCTTCTTGCCCCATCAAGCCTGTAGGACATAGGAAGATGGTGACATGTGAACTGTTGTAGCAGAGGGTGTGTATCACAGATGGGATTACATGCAAGGCGCGTTGTACGGAGCACACTATATTTGCACTGGTCTTTTGACCCCGCCATGCACGTCACCTTAGGTAGGCAGCCTTTTCCTTCTGCCAGGCTGCCCTAGGTGGGCTCCACATCCACCCCAGCCGGTCCCATTCAAACTAGATTATTTCTTCATCTCACTGTAGTCAGCTTTCCACCATAAGGAGGCATTATCTGTCCCTTAATTTTATCTTTCTGAGGCTTAAGAGATTTTTATTTCCGTTACCTTCATTCTGTGGTCGCAGTGCTCAGTTACCTTGGGGTTAGTGACTCCCCAAAGAGAGAGGTCCTCCAAGAGGCTAAACTGCACTGGGAAGGATGGGACACAGGTAGAGAGGAGTCCCCCCAGACATTCGGGATCCCCTCAGGCTCCAGATGACGTGAAAGGAGATGAGATAACATTTTGGTACTCCTGAGCAGCTTTTGGTATGCATAAAAGACAGAAAATGTGGGACTGGCACCCCATCTCATATTCTCTCTGCCAAATTACCTGTTTCCATCCTTGCACTGATCTTCACGTCTGTTGTGTTCTTCCCTCTGACCACAGCGAACCCTCCTCTTCCCCAATTCTTCCTCAGTCCCCCTTTCCCATTTCTGTTTACTTCTATTTCTCCATTTCCTCACAGAAAACATTTTTTAATTATTATTCATTTTTTAAAAAATAATTTGAACACAACCCAAACTACATCTCCTTTTGTGGAAAAGTTGACAAGAAAAAATGTAATCTGTGGGAGATTAATCTCTCTTCTGCAAAGCTCCGATTCAGACTGATGTTGTCAAGATGAGTAGCTACAACAAGGTCTCCAGGACTGCTCAGGTCCTTTGCAACAGGGTGGCTGGGCACCAGGCTTGCAGTTCTCAGGGGAGGTTTTGGAGGCATATGCAAAGAACATCTCAAGCAGTTGTTGGATACTTGTTTGATAGCGCTTCCCCCACAGTAGTGGATGGCAGGCAAAAACTGGGATAAAAATCAGACCCCTTGTTTCATTCTCAAATGTGCTGGAGCAATGCTGGTTGCCTTTCAAAATGGATATTGGGAGACACTGATTCGACTATACGTAGTCTGAATTACTGAATTCTCCCAAACGGTATGCCAATTTAAAAAAAAAAAAAAAAAAAAAAAGAGTCCTAGGATTACAGAAAGTCTAGAAGAGCTGACATTTAACACTGCAGTGAGGCTGGTAATCCCTGTAATTCTCTTAAGTAACATAAAAATACGTCTTGAAGTATCAATAGTGAAAATTATAGTTGCCAACATGGCAGCTTGTAACAAGGCTGCAAGGATTTTGTATATTCTTTTACTTTTTTTTTTAAGAGTTTCTGCAGAGAGTGTGATGAAAGTCCTTAGAAAAAGCTGCTGGAAGAAACATGCATGGTAGGCTTTTAGGAGAAATGAGTTGCAAAACATTCTAGAATAATGAACTTCCATGTTTGAAAAGTCACGTTTCTTTACAGCCACATTACGGAGGCCACTAGAAGTCCTGACACTTGGTAGTTTAGGCCAAGCAAGTGAAATTAATTATTGAAGACAAGTTGCTCATCTTCTCTAAAACACTGTGAGAGAATTGACTGACTGACAGTTCTGTATATTGCTGAAAATGAGCATTAAACCAGTTTTTTTTTTCCCAAATACCCGCTACTAGCAAAAGAAAATGAATAATTTGACCAGCATGCCACTTCGCATATCTTCTTGTAGCTATGCATAGTTGGCTATGAATTTCCTTTCAAAATAAATATATATGAATACATTTGTGCATTTTCCACAAAAGCTGACATGCTGCACAAATGCTTTTCAGTTTGTTTGAAGTGGGAAGCCATTTTTACATAGAGCTGAGATTGCATCTGCCTGTCAGTCAATGCAACCTTGATTTTTCAAGTACTGAAGATCAATTTCTTTGTCTTGAA